TAGTAATCAACTAAATGTTGGGATCGAGATGTACCTCGGTTTTTAGAAACAGAGATAGTTTTTTTCTTTTTTTTGGTCGCTTTGCGTTTGTTTCTTTAGTAAATACGAAAGCAATTGCTAGATAGTAGTATTACTATAGTAGACTTTTACTTTTTTCTACTTGCAATTTGACTATTCTAACAAATACTAGTAATTTAATTACTTGATATTCTGCTAGATCGTTTGGATTGTTATTTTTTAGAGTTTTTATAAAAAAAAATTGTACTGTAACAATTCAATATACATGAGATAAAAAAAGATAATTGAGAAATATAGTTATGAAAAAAAAATTTTAAAAATAGCAATCTAAATAAGACCGACGTCAATAATAAGGAAGAACAAAACCGATAGTGCAGCAATAACAACAAATAACTAGTGTAGCTGCTGTAAATGCACGATCCATTTGCCCATCCTGTAAATGCATGTGAGAGAGCATATTACACTTTCGGCCAAATTATTTTATCAAAATTAGTGGTCATGAATAGTGATCCTGGCAGTTTATTTGTACTGGAATCTTAACTAGAAGAATTGCAAAACAGTTTAGTTTGTCTCGACTGCCAACAATAATGTTTGGTAGCAGAACTTACGCTTCGACTACAAGATGCTATTGTTTTATTAGTAGTTCTCTTCCTATTAAAAAGACCAAAACTAAAGGGGGTTTTCTTAATTTACTATAAAGTGTTTCCGTCAACGACATAAATGAACAGCTTTAAACTAACAATAGCCTAACCTGCCCAGTGAAAGTCGTAAATCAAATCCTGATTCCGAATTTATTTAGTCCTCATTTTCTTAATCAAGACCATGACCTCTCTTGTTCTTTTCCCCACTCTTTCTAATTCTTTTTGGTGTTCAATGAATTTTCTCTTACCGGTGTTGTTGGCATGCTTAATGGACGTCAAAACTGATCAAACATGCAAAATATATATATATATAATTTTTTTGTCAATCAGCAACATCTACATCTACTCTGCTCCTACTCCTATTTTGAACCGTTGATCTCTCACTCCACAAAAATTTAAGGTCATGTTTGAGTTACATTTTTCTGATTTTTTTGTAAAAAAATTATTGTAGCGATTTGATATATGTAAGATAAAAATATGATTGAAAAATATGTTCACAAAAAATATAATAAATTTTTACTTTTCCAACAAGACCTAAATCTTTTGTGGTGACCAGTAGTCCAAGAGCTGATCAAATATGCAAATGCTATACTGAATTTCACACTTCATAGCCATACCATCAAATATACAATGAAAGATATGTCTCCTAACTGCGTTCTTTATTCGCTCCATAATGTTGTTTTCAATTCTATTTTTAAGATGATGTGTGAGTGAAAACAATAAATGATTCATGTACGAAGCTTCAGTTGCAGTAAGGACATGTACCAACAGAGAAAGAAAAAAGCTATAAGGAACCAAAATGAGATAAATAATCGGGAGGGAGTTATAAAAAAAAAATAAAAAAAAAGCGCATGCATACGAAATTTGTTTTGCCTACAAGAATTATGCAAAGGAAAGCCCCCAACGCAACGCAACGCAACAGTGATGAAAATTTTCGCAGTAAAAAGGGGGAGACAAGAGTCAGACAACATGATTTTCATTTTTAAGCTTTAACTCAAATGTCTGTCGTTTAGAAAAAGCTACTGTACTAACTAACCCCCAATCTCAGAGCTTGAGATTTGCGCAGCTCCAACCGGTTAGTTCAGTTGTCCGTGAATCCCTTGAAGTTTCCAGGCACGTCCTTAGTCCGTCTTCATTCTTGAAGTTGAAGGTGGCCATCATTTTATAAGACCAGAGTTCTAAATGAGACCGAATTTGTACTATAAGACTACATTAAATATTCCAAGTAAATTCTAACGGTTGATCAAAACTTTGAGTTTGGACAGAATATTATTTGAAATGATTATTGTAATGTTTTTATGATGTGACATATGTGAAATAAAATGATAGTTAAAAATATAAAAAATATGAGTGGGTTGAAAAATGTATTTATGATAGAAGCGAAATATTATTTTAAAAAATTTAATTATGCAAAGAAACCAATTTTGTTCGAGCAACATCTGCATGGTACTTACGTAGAAGAAAATCACAGACAAAGAAAAAATGAACCTTACTAAAATAAGTAAAGATCATACCTACCAATAAATGCTACATTAAATAGTTCAAGCAAGTGGCATGGATTAGCATAATTAATCTTCAAAACAAGTTCTTTTAATGTATACCAAAATTATTCTCGTTCTAATAAGCTATTGAACCTATAACTCAAACAACGTACTTAAAAAGGGTGGACTTGTGTGACTTTTGTAAGTATCAATTTGGGTTGAATCAACTCGCATGTTTGCAAAGCAATGAAAACATTATTATTATTATGTTTCCACGTCTTAAATCTTACTCCCTCCCTTTTTTTATAACTGACGTTTAAGGTTTTGCACACCAATTAAGAAAAGTTTTTCATTGTTTAAATCTATACACTACTTTCCTTTTGTACCCTTATTAATTGTCCAATTCACCCATGTTTTCTCTCACTAGAGTATTAAATGGTGCTGTTTTACTAGGCCAAAAGCAATGCAAACTAACTCCCACCAATTATGAAAAGAGAGATAAAAGGGTAAAATTGTGAAAAAATAATTAATGCTGCATGGGGATAATAAAACGACAGATAAAAGTACTTAAGAGCAAATTTCTTAAACGTCAGTTATAAAAAAAGGGAGGGAGTATGAGATAACACAAGATTTGATGTCCAAATTGTCATTCAAATCAAATAATGTGCTGGGAATTGGCGTGGTTTGTGGTCTTCATTTCAAGATCATAAATGTCTCGAGCTCTTTCTATCTGTCTGAATTTTGTCTCCTGCTTATTTCCTAAATGCTCAAGCTAGTTGGAAATGATGATTAGTTGGGGGTTACTTAGAACTTACAATTAATCCACTTCTAAGATTAGTGGATCCAAGATTTAGTGGTGTAAGATAAGATGTCTGTTGGACCAAAAAGACCTCAAGCAACAATCCATTGGATAAAAAGCCTCTTCAGCTTTTCCAAAGTGAAGCAAATCATCGCCCCCCCGCAGTACTTTTATTTTACTGCTTTTTTAAAAAAAATCTTTTTTTTTTATTATCACACCTTTCCAGCAGCAGGACAGTAGCTTTTAAAAAAGTGAAAAAAGGAGGCGGTAAACCCAATCAACAGTAACACTTACAAGTGAGTCACCCCCGACCTCGCCGCCATTTATTTGCTTTCGCGGCCTCAACCAATTGACCTTCATTGACCAACGCTCCTTTATCTCTGCGCGTTCAAATCCTCCAATTACACGTTGCCACGTGTCATTGCTGCGACAATGACCGCTGCTGCGCTGAATCCTTCGAGGACGCAAAGACGATGCTGGGATTTTTTTTTATAACTCTTGTTAAAATTTGTGTGTTTTTGTTTTATTAATTAATAAACTTCAATTAGGAAATCCGATGTATTTCCATCCTGTACTCTACCAAAAATAATTTTAAAAAATGGATAGCAATGAATATGTCACGTTGTTTGGACACTTGAATTTTTTTTTTTGGATAAAAAAAATTTGAATAAATCTTATATATATTGACAGTATAAACACTATTATCATTAGATTCATGACATGTGTACAAAAATTAAATTTCAAATTCAAATTTTGTATAATTAGCATTCATCTAACGCTGATAGTGTATGCACTGTTATTGTAGAAAAAATTAATCCAAAAAGTTTAGGTGAGTCGACCACTATTACAGGTCTAGACATGCTTGCGGGATCATAGAGCTCTTATAAATCGCCTATCAATAGAATTTTCCCGTCGATAGCGAAATTTGAGTACACAACTTTTTTATGAGAAAATAATTCGTTCTTATTAATTGAATTAATTTGTGTTGGCGGGGCACTTGAATGTGCAATTATGGCTCGAACCAACTTATGGCTTGTAATATTCTGCCTACAACTTTTCTGTATCGTGGCCCAAATATTTTTGTCTTCATATCTTACCAAAATCACATGATTAGTAGCAAATAGGTTGAAATAAACTGTCACTACATGATTTAATCTTTAGAAAAGACACATAAATCTCGATAATTGCAATAAATAAAATAATATATCGAATCACATTAGTGCGATGGTCTCTTTTTCATTTTTCAGTTCTCCTAAGCAAATTGGGCTGTGTGAAACGCAGAACGTTGGTTACTTATTTTTTGAACATATATTCTTTTGAGTATAATTCCACCACAATTGATTTGTAGTATTTTACTTTTCCAGGTTTTTAAAGATATTTATAGAGTCGGTCCAAGTTTGATTTTATAACGCAGAAGTATGTGGTTCATGATCAGTACTATCTAGTAATTTTGTATGCAATGATAATTGATAAAAAGGAAAAAAATTGATAATTAATAAATACTCTCATTTCGTTACTCTTTTCTCTTTGTCCATGATAATTGATAAATACTTCACATTTTGCCAGCCAAAATTAAAAAGAAATGAGCAAAGAAATGAAAGATACATTTTTTCAAGAAATCAATGAATGTCACCACGGCCAAAAAATCTGCTGATAAGTCTGGGACAAAAAAATTGAAAAAAAAAAAAGAGAAAATATTTTTGGTGGTCAAATATGATGATGACATAGGAGGATGGTTGGACCCAGACGACAGTGGGCCGGTTGGCCCTTGGCCCTGCAATCAGAGAAAAAAGAAAGGGTCGTCATTTAATCCTTCTAAAATAAGTGAAAGACACTTACAGCGAGTTTACTCACTGGGACAACAAATTGGTGTCCCCTCCCAAGTCCCAAACCAGGGTAATAAATCCCCATACAGTCACTATGGAAAAAAAAAACAAAAAAAAAAAAAAGACTCGGCAAAATAACAGGGAAAGAAACAAAGAAGGAGAGAGTCCGGTGTGTGTATTTTGGGTGGGGATAGGGACTAGAGGGAGGGGAGGAAAGAGGAGAGAGGAGGAGGGCCACTTTATTGCCTTTTTCATGATGCACGCATCCATTGCAGAGCAGTGACGGGTACTCTGTGCTGCTGCGACAATAAGAGGGATTGTACAGTAGGACAAGAAAATTTAAAAGAAAAAAAAGGGGAGAGGAGAGAAAAAATAAAAAATAAAGCAGTCTGTCCCAGTCTATAGAGCCTATGGCCTAGAGTCTAGAGTGAAGGGAAGAAAACTGAGAAAGGGTGGAGAGGAGAGGGAAAAAGAAAGAAAAGAGGAGGGAAAGAGAGGGGGGAAAAAAACAAGCCAAAGGGTATGGGTATGGGGCTGAAATGGTGATATGGAGCTCAAAAGAAAGAGAAAAATCTGGTGGAAGAAACAAGTTCATCTCTTTGGTCTAATGGATTTTTGTAAGGATTGATGGTTGCTTTGAATTTCTCCTCGAAAGAAAAATTCAACTGCTTCATATCCTTGCTCAAATCGTCACGGAAGTGAGAAAAATCCCATCTTGAAGCCACAGGCAAGCTGAAAATGCTCGTATTTTTTCCTTGTTCCTCCTCCTTCGAATTTGTGCAGCCTCTGGTTTTAATCTGTTTGGGTTCATTTTTTTGGTTTTGCAGATGCTAGGAATGCAGTATAATACTAACTTGCAAACAAAAGGGGTGCTGGAAGTTGGTTGTTTTGCTTCTTCAATCTCCTCAGCTGAAGCAAAGTGCAAGAAAGATGGAAACTTTACAAGCAATGAGCCCATTTCTGTGCTGGACACCCGGAGTCCTAGCCCTTCAACTTCGACATCCACTCTTTCTTCCTCTTTTGGTGGCACAAATGGTGGCGGCACCAGTGAAAATACACCCAACCTGGTGGTAGGTTCTCACAGAAACACCCTGAAAGGAGCCGCACCGCTGGACCCCATTACCACCGCCTCCGCCACCAACGGAGAAGGTGGTGGCGTAAAGGAGGAATGGGTGACTGAGCTTCCGGCTGGCCTGGAGCTGAGCCAAGATGGGCCAGAAAGATACAATCTTGGATTGGAAGATTGGGAGACTTTTTTATGTGAATCGACAGGCCAAGACCAGTCTCTTATCAGGTGGATTGCTGGCGACATTGAGGACCCTTCTTTCAGCTTGAAGCAGTTATTACAAGGCGGAAACTCAAGTGAGATCGAGAGCAATGTGGGTGTTGGCGGTATTGATCAGAGTTCTGGATTTGAGGCCTTGGCCACAGGTGGTTGTACAGCCAACAATGGTAATGTGTTGCCAACCTTAAGTTCTTCTCCTTTAGGCCTTTCTGGTTCTGGGAATTCTTTTGATAGTAACAACGGAAAATTCGGCTCTGTCCCAAGCTCTTTAAACTCGAACAACAAAAATGGGAATTCTCAAAATCTATTTCCATTACCACCCAACAGTTCACTTGGTATGCCTGATGGTGTAAATGTTGCTCACCAACAGCAGCTTCAGTTTGCCACCATCCCTGAGCAGAAGTCTCCTAATTTTATGCCTCATGTTATGATTAGTACTCCTCAATTTCAGAATGCTCCAAATCTGAATCTTTTGAATTCATTGTTGTCTTGTACCAATCAAGACCAGCCTCAACCGAAGAGGCAGAATTTGGGGATTTTGAACCCAGCTGCAAGCTCTCAGATCCCTAAAGTCCCACTTCTTGATCCGGATCCCAACCTTCTGCTCAGAAAGCAACAGGAGCTTCAATTTGGGTTGGGACAACAGTTGAATTCGCTTCCTTCCAGCAATCCCCAGCAGAAGCCATTTATTGTGCCCAAGCAGGAGGTGGCTGAGGGGAATGGCAATTTACTAGTTGCACGCCACCAGCAGCAGGTTGTTTATGACCAGCTTTATAAGGCCACAGAGTTAGTTCTGGCCGGAAATTTCTCACACGCGCAAGGGATATTGGCGCGGCTCAATCACCAGCTCTCTCCTGCAGTAAAACCTTTTCAAAGGGCTGCTTTTTACTTCAAGGAGGCTCTACAGTTGCTTCTGCTTTTGCCTAACAGAGCTATCTCGCCTTCTCTGAGGATTCCTACACCATTGGATGGTATTTTCAAGATGGGGGCTTATAAAATGCTCTCTGAAGTTTCACCGCTTATCCAATTCAAGAATTTTACCTCCAATCAGGCCCTTCTTGAAGCCCTTGATGATGCAGCAAATATTCACATTATAGACTTTGATATTGGTTGCGGTGCTCAGTGGTCTTCTTTTATGCAAGAGCTTCCCAGGAAAAATAGAGGGGCAACTTCTCTGAAGATTACTGCCTTTGCTTCTCCTTCAGCCTACCATTCGGTTGAGATTAGCCTTATGCATGAAAGTCTAACGCATTTTGCTAATGATCTTGGTATAAAATTCGAGCTTGAGGTGGTGAATTTTGACTCTTTTGACCCAAGTGGTTATTCAGCATCTTCATTCAGGTCGTCCGAGAGTGATACGATTGCTGTAAACTTTCCTTTGTGGTCTGTTTCTAGTCGACCGACTATACTACCTTCACTGCTCTGCTTTATCAAGCAGCTTTCACCTAAAATTGTGATAATGTTGGATCATGGGTGTGAAAGGTTTGAACTTCCTCCGTCCCATCACCTGCTTAATGCTCTCCAGTACTATGAAGTATTCCTGGACTCAGTTGATGCTGCTAACATGGCTTCAGATGCTGTTAACAAGATTGAGAGGTTCCTTATTCAGCCTACAGTTGAAAGCATTGTGTTTGGCAGACTGCAATCACCGAACCAAATTCCGCCCTGGACAAATCTCTTTGCTTCTGCGGGGTTTTCATCAGTACCAATCAGTAATTTTGCTGAAACCCAAGCTGAGTGTGTTGTCAAGAGGAGCCAAGTTCGAGGATTTCACGTAGAGAAGCGCCAAGCATCATTGGTGTTGTCTTGGCAGCGGCGTGAGCTCTTGTCAGCCTCAGTTTGGAAGTGCTGAGAAATTTCAGTATTGTTAAGCAAGAAGATTGCTGCAGCATTGCAACTAACTCTACTCTTAGATATCGAGGCAATAAAATTCTGAACTGAAATGGTACCACCTCCTATGTAGTAGTTAATTATTGTCCTCCTATGTTGTAGTTAATTATTGTACTATGTTCTTGCTTGCGTATCTCTGTGTATTGCAATGTAGTCTATCTTCTAGACTGATTGTCTCTCCTGATGGAGAAACTCCTAACTGCAAGTTTAGTAGTCTTGTTAGAGTAATTCGAAATCTTGCTCCTGTGTATCTTGATATATTACTAGTAATTAGTTTTTGAGTGGCTATGTAGTGCTTTCTCTGGCCCTTTCCTGATGGCAGGGATCATCCATCCCATGTCTGCTAAGAACCATGATATTAGATGCGGAAAAACAAACCAAGGTGCTGTGGCTAACATGCACTTGGTTGGAGAGTTATTACCATTTCTTGTTTTTTAAACTAGTCCAGTTAGTCATATTTAGTTATGATGTGAAGACCTTTAAGATCATCTCGTTTGTATACGTTTCTGGAACCCATCTTCCTCCCCTGTCCATGTGTTTTTCAAATCGTTTAGTGCCATGTTTCTTATGATCAAAATCTTGCGTTTGCCTGTGAATGATCCTGATCTTGACTGCTGTTTTTGCTAAAAACTCAGAAAGGTGGCATGTAGAACTTGGGGAGATGGTCTAGTGCGTTTTGCTTTACCTTGTATGCTTACGTCAAAATTGAACATTAAACTGGAGTGATTCATGATGCCGCATTTGTATTCTAGTTACTAGAAATTCTTTAGATTGACATCAGAGTGTTTTTTTGCTCTGCAATTGTCGTCTGTTTTTTTGCTTCTAAACGTGGAAGTTTCATTTTGACGAGTGTCTTTTTAACTTTTCTTGTTATTTACGTTAAAGTTGTAGGAATTAGTCGTCAGGTGGTGGGGTCATTTAGGCAGGCGTTACCCGGATATTTAGTTCGGCAAAAAGTGTGACTGAATGAGATGCTGCCTGAAACTTGACGGGTTTTTTGTTCTTTGTCATCAGCAGAAAACTAGCACTTATCACTTGAGCTTGTCTTCGGTTTCTTGCAAGAATTGGAATTGAACTGGAATTGAAATCGGTATTCTGTGGGGTATCAGTAGTAAATCTCCCGTTGAATCCAATTCTAATTCTCTATTTCGATTCCAATTCCCATGAGGAATCAATCACAACAGCTCAAGTCAAATTCCGGTTTGCTCGACTGGTTTTCCATTTTGTGCTTTGAGATGGATGCCCTTTTTTTGTCTGTGTCTTTGTTTTTTTTTGGGGGTAGTGAGGTGGTTGTGGCTGCTGCAGAATGTGAGTGGAAGTGAACTGGTTGCAGCTCTAGTTTTGAATAATTCGGTGGTGTTTGAGCCTTATTAAGGGATTCGGTACTCCTTGCTAGCATCAGAAGTTGGAACTTCCAAATGATTTAGAGTATATTTTTAGATCTTGTTTCAAGACTCAGATTAAGCTGTGTGTGTGTGTGTATATATATGTATATATATTTGTGAAAGGATTAGACTTGAGGCTTAGACATGAAAACAGAGAAGTTCAGGGAGGTTGAACTTTCTAACATTTGGCGGCATAGTCATGTTTTCAAGAATGATCATGATCACTTTCTGCTTCAAATATTGCAATAGTTTCGCAAAACAAAGGCCATTGTGTCTTTTAAGGTTTCAACATTAGCGATAGTGTCTTGTCTATTGTTGCATTTTTAACCCAAAAAATAAAAGTTAAAATAAAACTGGCGGCCCCAAAAAACCCCAAAAAAAAGAAAAGAAGAGGGAAGTTGATGTTGACTATATCTGTATCCGAAGTCCTTGAAGTATTAAAGGGAAGTCCTTGAAGTGTTAAAGGACAGTAATAGAGGGATCAGTGTATTCATTCTGGTGTAACTTGTGAGTATGATATATGATTGTGAATTCTTTATTGGTCTGCAATTATTAATTAGTAGGGTGGAAATTAGTAGCATTCTATGCTAGTGTTGTTTAAAGACGAATTGTTCCAATGCCCATATGATTGAAGTAGTAAATGTTAAAGAGAGAGGTCGGCCGTCTATTCATCTGGATTTCATTACGCCAGTAATGACTGTCGGATGGCTCTTTTTATCATTCACAAATTGCAATTAGTTTATTCGTCCACTGAAGCTGACCACATGGGAGTCATATTTGATTGAAAGTTGAACCCCTCCCCTTTTCAATAGCAAATTTCTTTGTCGCATTTGAACTTGAATAATCTCAGCCTTGTTGATACACCCTTTGTTTAGAGCAAACCAAACACAAGAATTTCTATACTAGATTTATCTAGTAGACGGCCGAGAAATTCAAACTAGGCGACCTCAATATTCTAGAATTTATGTGGGGAATCCATCTAATCATAGTTGGAACCTATATATATATATAAAACATTGGAACTTAATAGTAAGATGATGATGATTATCGACCACAATCATCATTGGACAGGAGCTCAGTTGTCTTTCGCTTGAGTAAACTAATCCACTAGTTTTAGTGTTCAAGTGACGTGGATCACAAAACTCCTCCCAAAAGTACGTAGCTCCAAACCATTGAGCTTAGCTCAGTGGCTAACAAAAAATTCAAAAGTGGTGTTAAAACATTACTTCATCAGGTTCTTATATTTGCTAGTCCCTTATACGTAACATCTTTAAAAAAGAGCTTGAGTAAAAATGTCGTTGCACTATATATTTGTCTTTCATTGGACCCGACTTAGATTTTCAATTATTTGGGAAAGGAATCTTTTCGAGTCAAATTCAAACCTATGGAATACTTATATCAAATTGAACTCGACCTCATATAGGTTCAAATTTGAATTCGAGTTTAAATCCAAAATTTTGAATCGAGCTCGATGGGTCAAAAGTTGCATTTAATTCGATTCATTTACAGCATAATGGCAATAAAGGGACAATAAGAACTTTTTTTTTTTTTGGAATACAATGCCCGGTGGATGTTTTGTTTTGCACTTCTTTTTTGGTCCTCTGTGTGATTACGCCAAAGTGATTCAGGTCCATTCCTTTTTAGGCATTCATACAAGAAAACATAGCCAAAAAAATTTTTTTTTTTAAAGAATGCAGAAATTAGAGCAAATTGCGCGAAATGTCACTTAACTATTTCGAAATGCCGGTTCTGATCACTAAACTTTTTTATTAGCCAAAAATGTCACTGAACTAGTAAATTTGTACCATTTTAGTCATTCCGTGTATTTATGCCGTTAGGAGAGACGGAAAATCACTTTTTTAGGGGCAATTTCGTCTACACCTGTTAAAAAATTTAGACCCTCCTTCTTCTTCGTCCTCATCTTCTTCCTCAAAGTCACAGCAAAAATTAGACCCACCTGAATTTCTCTGCCCAATTTCTGGGTCTTTGATGTCTAAAAATCAAAGACCCAGACTCCCTGGGCAGCCCTCTGAACCTCAGACTCCCGTGACTTAGTTAGTACAAAGCCGCCACACAATTCTCACGTGTTGATTCGGACGAGTCAGACTCAATTCCATCCCGCAAAATTGCCACCAGGCTGGCCACCGCGCCGCCATCCAACAACGCCGACCACCCCTCCAGTGACACCGCCAAATTGCATGAAAAACATTCCCTTTTCTCTTTTCTTCTTTTCTTTTTTTCTTTCCTTCTCTTCTTTCTTCCTTCTTCCTGCTGTCCGCCGCCGCCCCCATCGCGTCACTGACCGCCGCTCGATCTCCACCAGCCGCGCGCCACTCCAGTCGCGCGACCAGCGCGCCACGCTGCCTCCCTCCAGCTCCAACCCTCCGCGTGCCCATCCTATACGCCAGCGGGCAGCGCGCAGCAGCCGGCCACCTGGTCGCGCGCCGCCGCGGCTATCAGCACTCACACGCCGCACGCCAGCCGTGCGTCTCTTCCGCGGCCAGCGCGCGACGTCTCCCTCTCTGCGCAGCCAGCGCGCGCGAGCTCCAGCACCAGCAGCCATCAGCAGCTTTCTGCGCAACTCCACCGTGCGCAGATCCTCGCCGTGCGCAGACCCTCGCCGCCGCGCCTCCAACCGAGCAGAAAACAAAAATGGAGGGTTATTCTCTAGCCCTCTCAGCAGCTCCATTTCAGAAACTGAAGGTTCCTGTTGAGAGGCCGTTTTTGCTTGAACAATGGTGGTTTCCATGGAAGAATAATCAGGTGGGGAGGGGATTTCGACACGGGATTGTCGACACCGGTTGATAATTGAAGATTTAAGAGCTAAATTAGGAATTACAGCGAAAAAATCAGGGGTTGAGCCATCGGATAAATTTGGGATAACCCCTAAATCCTTGCAAACTTGAACAGCAACCCGCTCTAAAGTTTGGCCAGAAGAAATCACCACAGGATCAGACATCAAAGACCCAGAAATTGGGCAGAATAATTCAGCAAGTGGGTCTAATTTTTGCTGTGATTTTGAGGAAGAAGATGAGGACGAAGAAGAATGAGGGTCTAAATTTTTTAACAAATGTGTAGACAAAATTGCCCCCAAAAAAGTGATTTTCCGTCTCTCCCAACGGCACAAATACACGGAGTGATCAAAATGGTACAGATTTACGAGTTCAGTGACATTTCGCGCTAATAAAAAAATTTAGTGACCAGAACCGGCACTTTGAAATAGTTTAGTGACATTTCGCGCAATTCGCTCCAGAAATTACTTATTAAAAAGTCGAGTCATGTAATGATTAAGTGATGATCCATAGTCCCATACTGCGGTTGGTTGCGCAAGTGGTCCACTGTCCGGACCATCCAGCCGATTGATTGGTCCCGCTTAATTGATGATGCTAATAACGATTAGTAGTGCTAAATTAGCGGACTGAGAATACCTGTGGTCGTTTTAAGCGGAAAAATAATGCAAGAAAACGAAATAAGGGCTGAAATTAACTACTCCCACATGTTTGGCTCTTCTCCCGTTGGAGATTATGGGGTCTAGTTGAAAGGGGAATTGCATCTTAACTAATCTCGTGCTTTTCGTCTTTCGTTCGGTACGTTGTCCATTTAGTTACTAACCTAAGGGTGTGGGTAAGCCAAAGCGCTCGCGAGTAGCTTGCTAGCGGTTTGGTCAAAAGTTTGGTTCGAATTCAAATTTGAAGTCTACTCATTTCATATAATGAATTGAGTTCGAGTATAGTAGTAACTATTCGACTACTCGACGAGTTTAATCGAGTATTTATATTATTATATATTATATATTTTAATTATAGAACGATTATTATAGGTTCATATTTTAATAAATTTACATAATGTAATGTTCAGTAAAAAGAGTGATGGATGGCAAAATGGTAATCTAATAAATCTAAAATATAAAAAATTACAAACAA